TCGTCTGTGCTCAGGCAAGAGGAATTTGTCCCCTGAGCCATTTCTGCCTCTATCATTTAAACATCCAGTACAGCCTTTATGCTTTGGTCCTTGTGAAAGACTCTGAGGACCTCCTGATGCTCAGGATCTGATGTCCCTCACCAAATCCCCCCACCTTGCAAGCTGACTCAGGTGGGCCACAGGGAGATGGAGGCACCCCAGTCACCAGTCACCGCTGGAAATCTTGGCAGCCAAGCCTTGATAATGTGAAACAGAGCCAACACAGCCCTGCAGAACACCCAGGCGCTGATCTGGTGAGGAGAGACTCCATTTCTACAAGCGGTTTAAAATTGATACCCCCATGAGGCATGTTAGAAAGCAAAACATTGATGCTGTCTTCACTGGAAGCATCGGTTGCTTTGTTTTTTTAATGACACAGAAAGCTGCTTGCAAAGAGATAATTTCATTCAGCCTAGCCCTTGCTGGATGTGGAAGTCCTTGGAGGTGACTCTCCAACGTATCCAGTATGCCACCTAGCCCTCGCTAGCTCTACTACACTCACCGCTGCAGGACGGGCTGCTCACTCCTGCTGGAAAGGGGCTCCCAGCATGAAGCTGTGAACACTTGTTGGGGTTATCATCACAAGCAGAAAGGCACTGTCCAAAGGAAGGACAAATATCTTGGGAAGAAATCACATTTTGCTTCTGACATTCAACCCAGTCTCCATGCAAAGTGAAATATTGTGTTGATATCCGCACCGCCTGCTGTTGCTCATCTTTCCTTTCTGCACAGACTTGCCCCATCAGTTCCACTTTTGTCACTTGTCATTTTCCCTCCAAGGATGAAGTATTGGCTTTTTTTCATAACGATGCTTCAGGCACCTGATTTCACAGCCTGTTGGTGTCTTCTAGTACTTGCACATGAAAAAAAAAATATACATTCTCCTGTATAAGCGTTTTTTTGCTAATGAAATCCAGATCTACACAAACTGGACAGTGGTTTTGGAGGGAGAAAAAAAAAAAATCTCACTCTCGTATCTCTGATTCAGTTCTTAATCTTTCTAGATTGCCTGAACTTGTTTGATGTTCTAAGTGCCTCCAAAACACACAGATTAGCCCAAACTGATTAAAGCATGTGTTCCATCCTCTTTATCATACCCAGGAAAGTCAGTGCTTTGGCACATTACAGAGAGTATCGTAACAAAGTGTGACGTATCTGAGATGTAAAGAACAGTAACTGCTTTCCAAATAATTATTTCTCTTTTTTGCAACAGAGCCATATGTAACACATGAAGCCTATAGCAACAAAGTATATTAGAAGACGCTAACAGAAACCTTGGTTTCCTCTGGATGCTCTCTGTTCACCCCCCCCCAAAAAGAAAGCATGTCTTTCTTATAAACATAAAACGTGATTGTGATCTCCCTTGGAAAAGCACAAGCCAGGAGAAACGTGATCTTTTTAGCTGCAGAATCTCCTACAGCTCGTGACCAGCCGTGTGCTGCACATTGCCCCACTGCTGTCTTACTTTCCCAGGGTAGTGGGGTTTTTTTGGTGTCAGCAAAAGGTGCCAAAAAGACAGCCCCTGTGAGGAGCATGGACGGCACACACCAGGTGGTCATCTGCCACTCCATCCCGGCTGCTGGGCTCAGGGGTTCAACACGGGTGGTAGCCCCAAGATCCCCATGGCTGAGACCACTTTCAGAATGTGGGAGAAAACCTGCCATCAGGGCACATCTCACGGCTAAAATCTTGTCATCTTCTGGTTGAGGATATGACTCAGTTTCCAGGCACGGTTTTGTGGATGAATGTCCTCGCGGCGCAGCATAGAAGTGAAAAGAGGGTGGCCGCAAGACAACTTCACACCACCTGCATTTTGGCCTGCTCTGAAAGCCCAGGAGAGAGTTCCCGGAGAGCCCTGAATTAGAGCAGCTTCCCCAGGGATCCCTCGCATGATCTCTGCCCCATGGCAATCCAGCCGTGCTCAAGCCTCCTATGCCAGGGCTTGCAGTTAGGCTCGATGGAGGCAGTTCTCTACACGCCTCACCATTTTGTGTCTCGCAGGCTGGAGTGGGAGTGAAACCTCTCCTCCGCCCCTCTAGATACTCTTGCTGTCTCTGTACCAGGTATTAATATCTGAGGCACACTGTTTCTTAAGGGGTGTAGGAGAGAATGAGGAAAGCAAATTCTCTCCTGCCCTAAACTCTCTCACAAAGTGCTTCCAGATCTCCACGTGAACAGTGCTCGCTCTCTGCCTCGTGCTATTTCCTGCAAAGCACCCATTCAGACCAGCGGCAGATTCTCATAAAAATCAGCGGCAGGATGCAATTAATATGCTGTAAAAGTCGTGTCAACTGAAGAAACTGTTTTAAAACACTTCTAGACAAAATCCTAGGGGGTTGCTTTTCTTACCTTAAGGGTGCCTATTTTTTTACAGTTAACTGTGATCTAAGCAGAGATTCAGGTAGTGTTAAATAAAACCTCTGGAAAACCTCTTGGTAGAAAGAAAAGCTTAAAAAAAAAAAAGGTTAGAAATGTGGCTTTCTTCTTTGAAGGGCAGGGGGGAAGAACAGGAGGGAGTTGATCTTTACTACAGAGTCCACATGGGGTAGGAAGGCAGTAAAACAAGGAACACCTGAGAGGAGCAAAAAAAAAAACCTTAAGCATGGAAATTTTGGAGAAGAAGGAGTTAACGCTTTTAAGCAACCATCCGTCCTCTTACCATAGATAAGGGTGCATTCTAGTGGCAAAACCCATGCAATGCAGCTGCATAGATGACTGATCTAAAAAGAAACCGGGGAAATATGAGGTTTGGAGGAGTGTGTGCATATGTGGAAGGGGGGGGGTTGACTTGAATCACACGTAAACCTCACCCAGAACTGGCTGATCCCTTTTTATTTCCCACTCCTCTGGTAGATAACCCTGTGCTTGCGCTCCTGAGTGAACTCCCACCCCTTGGCTCAGCCATTCCTCCCGGCCGGCTTCAGCTCATCCTTCTGCTCCAGGTGTAACATCCCGGCACACAGCTGCCTGGGCGGGCCACGGGGCTGCACACTGCAATTTTGGAGATTCCCTTGCCCACGCTTCCAGCTTCCCTGCTCCTAGCAATGAATGAGCACTAAGGGAGGCAAGTGCGAAGGACCACGGCCCGGAGAGCTGCAACCCTTAGGAATGCAGCGGTGGAACAAAAGACAACAAACCCCAAGCTGTCTGGGACAGAGGATGAGCATTGCAAAGCGCCTTTTTTTTTTTTTTTTTTGTCTTCTCCCTCCCCACTTTGTGCAGGGCAAGAGGCAGAAGAAGAATGAGCTAAAACGTGCAAATCGGACTTCACATGGCAAAATTCCGCTTGTATTCTGGCATGCCCTAAGCAACAGCGAACTTTTCCAAAGAGGAATCTAACACAGTTCTTACAAGCAGCCCAGCCCTCCCTCCTGCTCGCTGTCCGGCTGCGTTAACCCTTGCTGTTTGGGGGTGTCAGGGGCGCTCCCTGGCACTGGGCAAAGCCTTGCTGCGGTTTTACACCTCACCCAGGGGCAGAGGGGCAGGAGAGGAGAGCTGGGCACCCTGCACGCACAAAGGCTCCTTCCCGGACCAGGGCGGGCGAGAACGGCTCCTTGGCGTGCATCCAGCCATCTCCCTCCTGCGCTCACCTTTGGAGCTGACGGGTAAGGTGTGTGCACCGGCTCCCCGCTCTGAGGGTCTCCAGCCCGCCAGCTGCCCGGGCAGCGGATGGGGGTCCCTGCCCCACCAGCACAGGGTACAGCGTGCAGGATCAGGCCCTGCTAACTCAATCCCCCCGCCTCCTCCCCTAACTCAGAGCCCTGACCTCTCCCTCCCAGACTCCCTGCAGTCCAGGCTGCCGTGCAACCCAATTGCAACCACTTTTCTCTCTTTTTTTTTTTTTTCTCTTTTGCTAAAGCCACGAAGATCTGACACCACCCCCCCCCCCCCCCCCCCCCCCGCGCCCCTCCTCTCCCCATCCTCGGCTTCCCCTTCCCCCTCCTCCTTCCCCTTGTCTCTCCTCATAATATTATCCTTGATCACTGCCCGGGGTTTGAAGCCCAGAAGTCAGAAGCTGTGCACCCCACCCCCACCGGCTCGAGTGTGCACTGATAGGGCCCGCGCTGCTGGCACCTAGTCAAGCTGAGGTGTCATTGGGATCTCAAATTGCAGCTAGGGGCTGGCAGGCAGCCAGAGGCAGTCTATTTAAAAGACAGCCTGTTCTGCAGTATTCAGTCTCTTTAGAAACTTCTCCAGGGGAAAAGTGTTGGGAGATCTACAAAGTGGATTTTTTTTTTCTCTCTTTTTTTTTTCCCCCCTTCCCCCTGTTTTTTACCGCTCCTCTGCAGACTTTGCAACAAAACACTCCAACTTTGCAGAAAACCTTTTTCTTTTTTTGCCTTTTTTTTTTTGCCTTTTTTTGGCTTTTTTTTTTCTCCGCTTTTTTTGCCTTTGCAAATCTTGGAAGAGGAAAGCGGGAGGGTTGAACAGAGCCGATCGAAACACAACTTTGCTTCATACCAAGCTTCCCAGCAGCTCGCTGCGTCGGGAGAGACTTTTTCTCCTCCTGCAGAAGAAGAGAGAGGGAAGGGGAGCTTTGCATCCCCTCTTCCTTCTCCTGCGTTTCCCCCTCCCCACCACCCCCCCC